GGTCTTTCTGCATTTGATATTGTCTTCCATCTTTAGTTTTCAAAAGTGGACCCAAAATTCCCAGCACTGTCCTGTTTGCCAATGAATTGAAATCTTTGTCAAACATTTCTGGCCATCTCCAATAAAAGCCATGTTTCCTGCAGTTGCTAGTATTTCCTTGCAGTTTCTGAAGAGCCCTCTAATAAAGCATAACAACACTTGTCACTCATTTATCTTTGTGAACCAATTCTCAAGATATGCATTATAGAAATCAACCTGTAACCATACAGAAAACTAACCAAGAATTTGCTGCGAACCTTTTTTTATATCTTGCTTGAAAGATATCTCTCTGAATTCTTAATAAAGACCCTTCAGTTTTGTCGTTAGCCAATGGAACACCTAAATCCTGACATAATTGAAAACATCTAGTGAGAGAGAGACTCTTGACATTCACTGGACATGGGTCTTCCAAGCAGAAGGATATCATCCGAATAATGTTGAATATGTGAAACATGACCCTTACCCTGAAAAGTTGACTGCAAAACAACAGCAAATCTGGGAAATATCCTTGGTGCTGAGTGACGTCCAAAGGAATCACAAGATCTACATAAAACAAATCATTACATTTCATTTCAACAAAATTTTGGTCCTCCTCACAAATGGGTAATAGACGGTAAGCCCTTCGAATATCAATTTTTGCCAATAAAGTACCATGGCCCATAACAATAACTTTTTCACTGACTTCTGGTATACCTTCATACTTGACAGAAACCAGATCATCAGGTATTAAATCATTCACGCTAAAACATAAAGGGGATGAAAGATCTGTAAATAAGCGGCATCCCCCTGCACCAATTTAGGGATAACCCCGAAATGATTACTATGCAATTGATAGCAAGGAGATTTTGAAAATGCAATTGCCCAAAGTCGACATTTCTCTTGCAAATAATCCAATACAACAGTCTGATGAAGCTTAGTAGACCAGCAATGACTATCTGCTGATTTGAGGGGGCCACCTGCTGCCCCCATACTAAATTCAGAACACAGGCATTCTAGAACCCATTCCTTATCTCAATGAAGACTGAACTTTAAATAAGGCTCCCAAGAATGAATGTTAGGTGGTTTAATTAAAACAGGTTCAGGTAACAAATGGAGTTCCTTAGAGTCAAAACCAGCTAGTCATTCCAGTTTTACTTAATTAGAGAAGAAGTGACGCAGACAGATCACGCCTTGCACAACGGGTTTCACGATCAGCTCTTCCAAAAATAGCTTTTGGGCAATCTAACACTTTGTGGGACTCCTTACATTTGAGGCAAAAATGCTCAAACTTGCAATCTTGAACTGAGCATAACCCATCATTATATTTAAAACAAATCAATTTCTGATTGAATGGAGAGCTGGATGAAAACTTTCCGTGCCCAACATTAGACACCATGATAGACTTGTTCTTCTCAACCCTCTCCACAACAGTAGCCAAAAAATTGCGGTAGCGATGGAAGACCATGAAATTCTTGGAGATCCGGCAGCCTTCTTCCTAAAAGCTCAGTCATAATCTAACCAACTTTAATTTTGTGAATCTCTGCTTGTTTTGGCTATGAACAAAAAATGAGCAGCTAGGTCACTAAACTTTTCAGGGTGACAATGAGAAGCCACACCAGCCCAAGCCCCTGCCCAATCACGAAACAGAGTTATTGCTTGCAGCTTCAAGGACTTCCTATCGCATTTAAGTGGGCAAGTAAGTTGCGGGTCTACAATCTGAATTCTTTCTTCATCTTCAGCGAAATTCAGACCGGGCCTTGCTCTGTCATCACAAGTGGCTTGTCTTCAAAAGGCAGTCGTAGTCCATTGGATGCATGTCCATAATCGATTTGTTCTTCTTTATCTATGTGAAGAGTCTGCCGTATTTTCACTGATCTCAGATCAACTGTGAGATATGATTACAAACTTAAAAGGGCCGTGAACAAACATGTGCATGGTTTACTGTATAAAATTTACCAATATCTCATAACAATAATGTTACGATTTGCCATGCAAATTCACACAACCTGCAACTTTTTAATCATGAAAAAAAATACTCGCAAGCCTCTAATTCCATCAAACGTCAAGAAGTTGCCCGATCAATTCCTTTAAATGGAATGAAATCACTTGAAAAAAATAAGATATATTTCTGCTATAAAATATAATCTGTCATACATTACTACAAGGAGTAACAAGAGCACATACATAAGTGATTTTTTATAAACCATTCCCGGGTAACGTCCGCCATTTAGTCTGGGTAGCAAACTGACCTTTGGACCCTATGGCCGCACACCGGAGCTATGGCGATTTGCAATAATACAAAGACGTAATTTCACAACCATGCTATTCTAATGTCATGCCGTTCGCTAATCAACACTTATTACACTGTCTATTATCCTTACATAATTATCCTTTGAATGACGGGCTATTTTCCATCGTCTAGTCACGTATTTATTGATGATATCTGTAAATAGTTTTAACTACCTGGTCTGAAGTCTTCACAGCAAACAGCAGAAAACACGAAAATTGTCCTATTGTACGCAGTTATTCAGTTTACTATAACGTTAGCAGTTAAAATGGCAAGCAATTCAAGAACTTATCAGGATTTTCTAGATATGGGAGTTAATAGTTCGAAGGATTTTTTAACTGTAAGAGGGGTGTCTGTAAGTAATTATACAGAGGTGGAACTTGTTGCCAGAGCGTTTTCAGCTGCTGAGATGGGTTTGCCTATTGTAATGTCCAGCGAAGATCAAGCCAAACTTCTCCAACAAGAGTACAAAAAGAGGCTTAAAGAGATGGATTTATCAGACCCAAAGGAAATCAAGGATGAGGATAAAAAGGACGAACTCTCTCTATGGCCTACAATTACACTGGGAAACATTTTCGAGTATATTCTGAGCGTTAGAGATTTCAATGTGGAATACGTTGGTAAATATAAGGATCAGAAGGCCTACAGCTACTTTGACAGTATCTTTGTTGGCGAGATTCTCGTCAGTAAACCAAAAGATGAGGTCATTCTTCTTTTCTGTAAAGTGAGAGCATCAATGTCGATACACGATGAGAAGGAGCTGTGGGTTGCTGCTCAGCCTGGTGGCAAAATACTAACAGCTTGGTGTTCATGCATGGCAGGTGCAAGTAGATGCTGCAATCATGTAATAGCAGCCCTGTACAAGGTTGAGTATGCCAACATGAATGAGTTTCTCTCTCCATCCTGTACATCCATGCCTTGTGCATGGAATCAAGCAACAAAGACCACCATTGAGCCAAAAAGAATTTCTGAAATCATTGTTCGTAAGAAATTACCTTCTAAAATGCCAGCAGATCCTAGCAATGATGTCCGCTGAGAGGAAACCAGAATGCAGGAACTAAGCCAGTTTGATCCAAGACAGAGTCTACATCAAAACATGACAGGGGAGCGTTTGTCCAATCTCATCCACCAAATTTCTGTAGCAAATCCCAACACAGTATTATTAAAATCTGTTGAGGGCATGGCTATTCCAACCTCAGGCAATTTGACACCAGCTAACATAGCCAACGAGATAATGGTAGATCAGAGTTTATCATCAGATGACGCAAAAATAACAAAATTTCTAGCCAAAATGTGTTTCTCAGAAAAAGACGTAAAAACTGTTGAAAAGATGACGAGAAATCAGGCCAAAAGCAAAGCATGGATTGAGCATCGAGAAGGGCGATTAACAGCTTCAAAGCACCATGAGTACTTCACAAAAGTCAACAGGATTTCCCGTGTTAAGGGTGATGTACGTCCGAAAACAACACATCTTGTGGCCAATATTATACATCAAGAGGAAAACTTAGACCACATCCAAGCAATCAAGTGGAGTAGAGATCATGAAGCAGATGCTTTAAAGGGATTCTACGCAGAAGAAGCAACAAGGCACATCAACTTTAAGCTGGAGCAGGCAGGCTTATTTCTGGACAAGGATAGGGCGTATATTGGAGCATCACCTGATGCCATAATGCAATGTTCATGTCATGGAAAGGGCGTAGTTGAAACAAAGTGCCCCTTCAATATACGTAATGAAAAAGTAACAGACAGTAGCAGCATGTGAGTGTTTTTAAAAGTTAACGATGACAACAACATCTGCTTGAACAAGAACCATAAATACTACACACAGATCGTATCTCAAATGGCGCTAACCCAATCTTTGCAAGGTTATTTCATTGTTTGGACAACGAAAGAAACTTGGGTCCAGAAACTTGAAAAGGATGATGCTCATTGGATTAAGGTGTCCTTAAATTTGGAGATCTTTTTCAAAACCTATGTTGTTAAAGCTCTTCTTGCTATAAGCCCACTAGAGTTCTGTGGAACTTATGATAAAGTTTTGCTAGAGGCTAAAGAAATAAAAGGCAATGAGTGGATGTGTTGTGGTAACTGCAATGTACGGTATCATCTTTATTGCCAAAACATTAATCCAAATTTAAATGAAGATGGTACATGGATTTGTAACAAATGTTTGTCAAATATTGCTTGTGATAATGCGGCATATTAACTTTTAAATACATATATTGTTTAAAGTTAATAAGATATAATTCTGAAATTCTCTTCTTTTTATCTTTTTTGTCCTTTCTGTATAATCTTGAAAAAGCCCCTTGGAGCTTATTTATTTAGAATGATATTGGATAGGGCTAATTTGATGGGGCCTCAAACAAGGGTTGGGACTTGTAAAAGATTATCCAAAAGTCGCTATAAAAATAGCTCTAAAGGATTTTCACTTTTCCGTGTTCATTTTCAAAAAAGAAAAATCTTAGAATTCAATAGTGACAACGAAAACATTATTTTCATTTAAGATTCTCACTTTCCGTTGAATGAGTTATTAATGTAGGACTAACATCCTGTATTGTAAAATTTGGCATATCGGGGTAGGGGCTTATTTGCGGTGGGACATATTAAGAATTTAATTATCAGGGGGGGCTAATTCAAGGGGCTTGTGCGAGACTATACGAGTTGGGCAATTTGAGGGTTACCGGTATCTGTCCATTTTTTATTCAACTAGTGGGGGTAATAGATTTACCAGAGCACAACACGTAACAACAATATCATCTACTAATGGCATTTCTAGAAGCGACATTTCACGTTTGAGAATATGGAACCACTTGACCCTGGCAATGGCTTTCTCAACAAATATCCAAACATTTGCAACTCGATTAGTTGTTCTTTCGGATTGTGTCATCTGAGTGCCTCTAGCAGCACTAGGTGGTATTGCAAGGAAACATCTTTTCATTAGTAAGTCTGACTTTATCTTAAATCCTCTGTCAGCAATCACAGTGTCGTAAGGTTCAAGAAGATCCAAAAAGCCTGAATACCGCACAATATATAGGTCAGTGGTACGACCTCCAAAACATGGGGATACCCATGAAATTGCTCCATTAGGTGTAATTGCAACTAAAAATTTAACTGTGCAGTGGTGCTTATAATCACTCCACAAAATGGCTTGAACTTCAAGAGAGCTTGAGTTCTCGACAAAAACCTCTGTGCAATCGATTATGGTGCGAACCTTGGGGTAAAGGCGCTTGAATGCATCAGGCAACGTTGCAATTATTTGACCTTTGGATGGCCAGATTATTAAGTTTCTTAATTCTTTGGACAGCAGTTTTATCCAGGTGATCCAGATCTGGGACACTCGAGTGGTAGATGTTTGAAATCTAAACGCTAGGTCTTTGACAAAAAGGCCTAGCCTCAACCGCATCAAAACTAAAAGATACTCCTGTTCTAAACAGAGTTTCCTTTCTGGCCCCTTTCTGTTTATTGGCAGTATATCGCCTTCTGCATACACAGATGAAGACAGAATCTGATCCACTCGCTGCTGGTAAACATCAGACTTCTGCTTTTGGAATGCTCTTTTAGGGCCTTCCCAGTATTTCATCAATCTACTTCTTGGGTGCAGATAATCAAAAATAGCCTTAAATGTTTCTACAATTTCCAAACCAGTGCAGAAGCGAACATCAAATTCTCTATTAAGCTGCTCAAATTTCATTGGAACAGGGAGAATAATCGAGGATTCTTGCTTATCTGCATTTTCCGGCTCCTCTGAAGATGCCGAGGCTGCCCCACCTATCGTTGTTTGAAACCCCCTTTTCCTTGGTGAAGACCTTCGAACAACACTCTGGTTTGGTCGATTGTCCTGTACAGTTAGCCAAAGAGTAGGGTTTGGGTTTCTGGCTGTAGGCTTTCCATCAGAAAAATGATTCGAGCAAATCCTACTTCCATCACTGGGAACAGAACCAACTCTTCCTTTGTTGATTAGAGCCGTCCAGGTTTTCTTCTTTGATTCATCATTTGTTGGAAACCTGTGAAATTTTAGAATTTTCACATGCTCTTTGACCACAAAACGATCTGGATAACGTGTATCATTATCACAGGTTCCAACACAGCATCAATCGTGTCTTCCCATGACTGCCTGTATCCGTATGATAGCACTTAAAACGATGCAAAATATTAAAACGAACAGACAGAATTTTTCTCTACAAAACAACAGGAGCAAGCTATTCGAACATTTCACTACCCCTAAAGGAGACCATTTATAAACAGCCAGCGTGGCTAGACGATGGAAAATAACCCGTCATTCAAAGGATAATTATGTAAGGATAATAGACAGTGTAATTAAGTGTTGATTAGCGAACGGCATGAAATTAGAATAGCGTGGTTGTGAAATTACGGCTTTGAGATATTGCAAATCGCCATAGCTCCAGTGTGCGGCCATAGGGTCCAAAGGTCAGTTTGCTACCCAGACTTAATGGCGGACGTTACCCGGGAATGGTTTATTCCTCTTCTTCTTTCTTCAAAAGGCATCTAAGAGCGGTTGCCCATAGATGGATTACCAGATGGATATTTGGATATCTTGGCTGGGAGCCTGCATTTACAACAACTTGCGGCAATGGTTTTCAGATGGGTATGCCAGTTCAAGCCAAAGATAGAGTCATGCCATAAATATATGCTGTTGGTTGGTGTGTTAGCTCTATTGTGACTTTGAAATCCTAAAGTAATACAGCCTTACTCAACTAAAATGTTTAAGTCAAGCACCATGGAGATTCTTGAAAACTTTGGACTATAAAAGGGGTTAAAAATATATATTTGGTAGACAGTGGCAGACACCAGGGGAGAGGGGAGGGCAAAAACTACTTTCGTAAACTGGCCATTTTTACAGCTGACACCGTTAGGAAATCCAGCAACACAGTATCTGCCACCTTTTTTGCGACCAAGTTCATGCAACTGACTAGTTGATTCCATTATCAATAACTGAATGCCAAAATTTTTCCAGTCATCGGTGTGATGTCACAAGCTTAGAAATTTTTTCGCGACATTTGCCCAAAATTACCAGTTTTAAAAACGCTATATCTTCAATAAAATAAGGTTAATAACAGTCAAATATGTATAAAAGCTCATGTTTTTGGAAAAAATTCCAAATAAAAATAATTTCATTAAAAGTTGGATTTCATTGCACATACACTTTGAAAACTTCAACAAGTCAAATCCATCAATCAACAAATCAATGTTTTACGGCGTTTGAAGTCTGCTGAGCCCAATACATTCAATAATATAGCGTCTGGGAATTTAGGGATATGATTTTATAATTCTTTTAGTGGTTCCACATTTTCAAATGGGGCTTTGCAAGTGCATTCCAAAATTTTTCCAGCTGAAAATCTGTCTATTGCTGATTTAAAGTCAAAAACTGCTGGAACAATCAAATGGTTGTCTGCTGCAAAAAGAACTCAACGATTTCCAGAAGCATCACCCAGAAGAATACAGAACAATTTTTTCGCAAAGTTAGAGGCAATGGTCATAATCAAATATCAGTTTGGGAAGAACATTTTGAGACCAGGAAAGTAAAGTTCTATCAGTTCAGTGATGTTTCTGTTAAGTATTTTTATGGTTATAAGCTGACTACCAAGAAAGATACAGATGTAATGAATAAGAGAACTCAGAAAAATTTAGCTAGTCAACTGTAGATATTGATGATTATGTGCAGAGAGAAATTAATGCTACATGTCCAGTTATCTGTTAATATTAGCCCAGTCTGCACAAATGGTAACTGCTCTGGAAATATTGGATTTGAAGCTGGCAGTAAATTAGCCAATTGTCTTTTTTGTATAAAGAGAATGCTGTTGAAGAATTGCCCAAAGTTTCTTAAACCTGAGCTCAAAAGGATCCCAAGAGGCAAAGAGTTGTGCCTCTATATGGAAAAACTTTTTAATTTTCTCTCTGACGTTTAATCACAGGACTATACGTTGGAGATGAGACACAGAGGAAAGAAGTTATTGGCTTTGAAAAAGGAAAACATTAAGTAAACTAAAGCTTTTCGTCTGACACTCTTCAGAGTATAAAACGTCATAACATAGATCGAAAACTCCACGCTATAAACCTGTTCTTCAAAAATATTCAAAACATTGTATCAAGGACTCTTTCACATTGCTGAGTTCATGCAAAACTTGAACATCGAAACGAAACATGTTTCAGGTGTTCTTTTGACATTAGCAGTCCTTTCACAAATGTTCCTTTGAATGAGGCCATCAAAATATGTGCCGACGCTTTGTACCGGAGCGAGCTTAATAGCCCACCATTCCCAGAGGAAGTATTCATTGAACTGATGGAAACTGCAACACATTCAGTTGAATTTAGCTTTAACAATGAAATGTACAAACAAAAGGATGGTGTCGCTATGGGTAGCCCTCTGGGACCAGCGTTGGCCAATATCTTTGTTGGCTTTCATCAAGAGCGTTTGTTTGTCTGGGACCAAAAGCCAGGTGTCTATTTTCGGTATGTGGATGACACATACCATTTTCAAAACAGAGGCTGAGTGTGATACTTTCCTAAAACGCCTTAATGGCCTTCACACAGCCCTACATTTTAAACTTGAAAAGGAAGAAAATAACTCCTTGCCATTTCTAGATGTTTTGGTTGAAAAATCTGACTAGTGTATACTGACTAGTGTATAGTGTGTTTTCTCACTAGTGTATACCGTAAACCCACATTTTCGGGGTTATACACTCGATGGAGTTCGTTTTGCCCAAAACAAAGAAAAATCAGCCTCATCAAAACGCTTAAACATAGGGCACTGATGTTTAGTTCCAAGTCTAAACTTGACCCGGAACTTGAAAAACTAACTAAGATCTTTCTGGAGAACGGCTATCCAGAGGATGTTATTTCTGTTAACATTTAGGAGAAGATAGGAAATTTCTCGGCTGACATAAAATTTAGTCCTCAAAAGTGCCTGGTCTATCTAAAAATACCCTGGATCGGTGACAGTTTCCAACGTTTTGAAAGCCAAATATTGTTTCTTTGCGGTCAACCCACGTGTTGTTTATAGTACGAAAAAAGGCCCTTCCATCCATTCAAAAGGACTGCGCTCCTGCCACACAAAAAAGTTCCGTTGTTTATGAATTTACGTGCCAGTGTGATTCTGGCTACATAGGACACACCACCCAAAAATTTGAGGATAGAATAAAACAACATGTTCCGTCTAATATTAGAAACAAAACCCATCCCCAAAGAGAACAGCCACCTCGGTCTTGCAAATCTAAAATGACAACTAAAACCTGCGATTCTGCTATCGGGCAGCATTTACTAGAAAAACCAGATTGTGCAAAAAACTACAATGGCGACAGGTTTCGGATTATTGGTAAAGCCTGATCGTCGTTCCACCTAGCCGTTTTGGAATCTATCTACATAAGCACGAAAAAAACGCTACTGTGTAGACAAAAGGAGTTCGTTTTCACCTTAGGACTCCATTGGTAACATTCTCAATAGGCAAGCGGCACTGATTGGTCAACCTATACAGTCATGTGCTCGTGTTTTCTTATTGGCCTATCTCGATCCACAATTGGGTATATATATTTCCTAGCGTAGAGTTTTCAATCTATGTTCTGATGTTTTAAACTCTGAAGAATGTCAGACGAAAAGCTTTAGTTTACTAAATGTTTGCTTTTTTTAAAGCCATTTACAAGTTTTGTACCACCAGAAGAAGTTATTGTATGCAAACGCTGAGAAGTGCCATGATGTGTTTTTGGTTCCAAATCAAACAACAAATCTTTTGGATCTGTTTTTGGGAGAATTAGGCGGTTCTTAGAATGCATAGACTGGTTCCATTTCTCTAAAATAGTTCTTAAAAAGAGATCAAGAGGCATTTTCGGGTAGAAGCTGGGATCCAGTTTATTTTGGGTATTTCGACCATGCTGATTACGAATTTGGCGGATCCCAAGTGAAATTTGCTAATTTAAAGGCTTAATTTGCATATTCAAAATGGCTGCCGGTCAAAAAACTTCAAGGTATAACCAAGGGACCCTCCAAACCGCATAAAGTTCTGGCAAGTGGTAGAATATAGCAAATAAAGAAAAAGTGAAGAAATTCAAGAATCTTTTAAATTCTAAGCTTTGTCACGCACAGACTGACACTGTCTGACACAGCCCATGATATCCTTCAACAAACCATTAAAAAGATGCAGAGCGCTTACCTTTCAAAGCCTATATGAAGTTCCAATAAATCCAAACTACAAGGAGAAGCAGACGATTTTCAAGGCCAATCGAAATATCCTCATGCGGCTGATCACTGCTTATGAAGTCAGCCGTGAAGTTGATCTTAAGAGTGTGCTTTCTCATGAATTGATGCCAGTTCCTCATCTCTCACTGAAATGAACTGTTCTCTTCGGACTGGAAGCAAGTCTGTCCTTATTGACAAGCTAACGGATAGCATCAATTGTCCAGAGAGTATCGATCTTCATGGAATAACAGCGTGCTTAATCATCGATGGTCAGGCTCTAGTGGTGTTATTAGGCAAATCAAATGGTTGCTCTTCGTTTCGTGATTTAGCAGACACATTTGTTTCAAATGGGTAAACGCTACCAGAGATTTAGCAGTGCTTCAAATGGGTAAACGCTACCAGAGAATCGACGTTGTTTTTGACCGCTATAGACAACTATCAATCAAAACTAGTACCAGACTAAGGCGGAAAAAAACTAGGCGGCCTGTTCGCCGAGTTAAAGAGAGCGGTTTGGTACCTCTTCCAAAGTTCTGGTCAAACGTCTTTGCATTGCCAGAAAACAAAGCAGATCTTGCACGATTCCTGTCAGAAGAGTTGCTTCGCCAAGCAACTGAAGATAAAGAAATTGTTACAGCTGGTGGATTTATCAATTAATTGCTTGCCGAGTCATCGAAATACTACACTGATACCTTGTCTTTGATTGCAGACCATAAAGAAGCAGACACCAGACTTGCCCTTTGTGCTATCAATGTCACCTGCAATACAGTAGTAGTTGCTACTATAGAAATGCAGATGTGCTCATCATTCTGGTGTCCCACTTTTAACGAATGCGATGCAATGATCTTTGAATGATGTCTGGAACGTCAAAGAAGAGAAAAGATATTCCAGTCAAAGAGATTCTTCACGCCTTGCATGAGGGATCTGTTAAAGCACTCATCTCCTTTCACACTCTTACTGGATGTGATACAACTTCATACTTGTCTGGGAATACAAAGGCATCTGCATGGAAAGTTTTTAAAGAGTCTCATGAACTCTTGCGAAACATGGGAGAAGAAGGTATTAACGAACAAGTTATGTGGAAAGCAGAACAATTCTTTTCCACGTTTATGGTGCAGGTCGTATCAACACCACAAATGAAGCCCGACACGTTCTATTTTTCAAGAAAACAAAACCCGAGGCATTGCCTCCAACAAGTGTTGTGGCACATCTTCACATAAGAAAAGCACACTTCCAAGCAATGATATGGAAACAAGCTGGATCACCGCATCAATACTTACCGTCACCTACAGATTTCGGATGGGAGCTTTCTGAAGATCGATTAAAGCCGATTCTAATGAGAGTGAAGCCATCCCTACTGCTTCTCTGGAGATGATCTTTTGTGGATGTAACACACGATGCAGAACTCATATAGCTTAGATTTAGATCAGACACTCCTTCAAATCTTAATGTAGAGTCAAGCTTCACACTGCAGGCCTTGCGCATATCAACATGAGAAATGTCATGCATAAACTTGTCGTTAGTTCGAAAAATGAAGAGCCGAAAGTTTGCCATTTCTCCTAAAATTAAATGGGCTAAATAAAACTGGAAGATTTTATTTTAAATGGTAGACACTAACCAGCTAGAAAACCAAATCAATGAGTTTAACTTTTGCCGGAGGATCATAGATCATCGAGAATGCCACCATTCGACTGATTTCGAAGAGACCTTTGAAATGTTGCATGACCTTTTCAATTTTTGATGGCGTGAAAAATTTTAAGTTAATGACGTCATCATATTAATGACGTCATGTAAATCACAGAAAATGTAATAGATCAACTTTACTAGCCCAATTGGCTCTCTTTATCCTTAAAAGTAAATTCAAGACATTTTAGAGTATTTGCACCAGTAATTAGGGGTTTAAATGAAACAATGACAAATTGGTGTAAATAAATCATGAATAAGCGATATAGATAATAAGCTTAGATGGAAATCATATCTCTGATTTTTACTTTTTGGTGCATTTTGATACATTCTAGAGACTATAAAAGGACTTAATAATTAAAGCTGAGATATTACCAATAGTTGGCAAATTCTGCCATTTTCTTCAATTATGACATCATATTGACGTCATGGATGTAATGAAAAATTTAAAAAGTTCCCTGTTGTGTAGATTTTGTTGCTGTACACCATTTTACCAAGTTCTATCCTCATAACAGCAATATTAGTGAATATCCTATTCGAATGCAGTGTCATGGATTTTCTTGGCAGCATTTTGAAGATTTCGACTGGCAGCCATTTTGATATGCAAATTAAGCCCTTAAATGAGCTAATTTCGCTTGGGATCCTCGAAATTCGTAATCAGCATGGTCGAAATACCCAAAATCAACTGGATCCCAGCTTCTACTAAAAAATGCCCCTTGTTTTATAATTTCTTGGAATTGGAACCAGTCTAGCACTATTCACTTTCGCTTGAAGTTTTGTTTGTTTCTTGCGTGGTTTTTTCATTAGAATGTCTTATCAATACTTCGATGAGTTGCCAAGGGAAGCGAAAGCAGGATATTTGGAAAAATTTAATAGTATTAACTTAAAGGAATGTCTGTATCGACTTCCCGAAGGCTGTTGGCGATCTGGCAACATGGGCTACCTTGGAGTATCCCAATATTTATGAATATCTGATTTGGTATGTTTTTGTAATTCAGGTGTTTTATATGTCGAATGGCATTAGATTATGCGAATGGCGCCATTTGTATCGAGAGAAAGACGTTTCTTTTGATATTTCCAAATAAGGAAACACCAATTAGAGATAAAAAATAGAACCAAAACTGTAACTGCAAACAAATAAAAGAGAGAGAGAGCCGATAGGCAGTTTAGAGTCTACAAGAAATCACAGCGATATTAGGGAAAATGGTCTTCCATACTGCGAAAAGACAAGGGGCTGTCGTATCGCAAAATTGCTGATGTTTGTGAAATTTCTCCATCAAGTGTTGTTCGCATTTGTCAGGAGGGGTCGAACGGGAGGAGGAAGACAAAGAATGAAGAACGTTAGCTACAGAAGTTTGGTCAGAATATTGAATAAAGATGGGTATTGATGCTTACGACCCAGACGTAAAGGAGTTTTTCCAAATGCAGATAGAAGACACAGAGTTCATTATGCAAGGGAAGCATTTAAAAAGTACGACAAGAATTTTTGAACAGACGACATCCTGATTTACTTAGATGCTGTTTCATTTATACATAAACAGAACCCTTACAGGGATGCATTAATGCCAAGTGGAAGAGTTTGAAGAAATAGTAATAAGGGTCTGAAATACATCACAAAAGGAAGTAAAAGCCTACCAGAGGGCTGAAGATATCATGTTAATGTGGGCGTTAGACATTAGGCATCATAATTGCTGTAGAATATGACAAAATTAATGGACCTTGGTTTGCAAAATTTTTTTGAAACAACATTACAAAAGGCACTGTTAGAGTGTGCTGTTTTGAAAAATAACGAGAAACTGCTTTTTGTAATTGATAATGACCCTAGCCAGAACAGTAGAGTAGCCAAAGATGCCCTACAAGAAATTGCAGCTGAGCTTGTCAAGATACCACCAAGATCACCAGATCTGAACCCAATAGAAAATGTTTTCCACAACGTAAAAAGGAAAATGTTGAAAGAAGCATTTCAGGAAAGGATAGAGAAGGAAGAGTTCGCAGCTTTTAAGGAGAGGATGTTACGCACTCCAGCCAATTGCAGTGGTTCACTCATTGACGGAACTATCAAAACTATGCATAAACATCTCAAAACGTTAACTAAAAATGGAGGATACAGAACAATATACTGAAATAATGTAAATTTGTATATAGTTGTAAACATATATGTTGATAAACAGCTGAGTACAAATGACATGGCTAAAAATGCACACGTAAATCACAAACAAGTAGAATTTTTTACAACGTGTTGCTCCTTTGCACCTACAGACATCATCAAGGTAGAGAAAGTGTTTTGTGATTCCTCAAGATTTCATGCTTATCTCTGCTTTTGTGTGGAATCTTCGACTTAATCATAGTAGAAGATTGGCATCTCAAATATTTCAATACTTAAAATCATTAGATCTTACACGAAATTGAATTGAAAAAACTATTGGTATTCAAATGTCGAAGGGCCATCTCGTAGACCAAAAAGGTCTTCCCCACGGTTAACAGTCACGGTTAACAATTTTTAAAATGCCCCCAAAAGTTGTGTTAAAGAGAAAAAACAATGCAGATTTTGCCAAGAGGTGTGCAATGTATGTTTCAAATGCTGTATAAACTTTGACTTGGATTTTGTACATGCGAAAGGAGAAAATTGAGAAACAGTCCACAGTCTACACTTTTCTTGAAAATTGAATTTGAAAATCTAAGGCTATTCGATTTTCAAATGTTAACCGTGAGTTTTTGCAAATCTTTTCATTTTTAGGCAATAAATTCAGGCCAAACGTAGATTTTTGGGTTGATTAAATTAGAAGGCACCTTGTTGAGGAGCTTTGGGGCGAAAAAGTCTCTTAAATAACCAATGAGATGAAAAAAACAGACACGGTTAACAGTCGTGCCACATTTCACATCAACAGGGAAGCCTTGCGAGGCCTTGCCCCTGCCAAGGATGCCTTTTGTATCAAATAATGCCATTGAGATTAACAATTGCTGATGATGCCTAAAGTCACAAGATCATTTTGGCAAAACAATGACCACAGGCAGGAACACATTTCTGCAGCTGTTCATTTGAATATTCGCCAATGAACGTTCATCATCTCTGTCTCTCTCTCTCATCTAACATGGAGCCTGTGATAAAGGAAATTGGAGCCTTTGATGTGGCAAAGACAGGAGTGTTCTGGGTGTGCTCTATATCCTTGCTATACACAGTTTTTGGAGCAGCGAAGTGTACAACAGTCCCCTCCAACAACTGCAGCCTATCACTCCATGGCAGAATGACAGGTGACCACCTAAAATCATTGAGAAATATTACTTCCTTCACCTCAACACCAAGCCACGCATAAGAACAAGTGGCAGGAGACAGGAAAGCATTGTACACAATTCTTAGTGGGTCTAAAATGAAAGTTTTGCCACAGTTCGCTGGACCTGCAATAAAAATGTTACGGCCCTTGCCTCTACCCTTGCCAAGCAACGTCAAAATGGCCTCAGCAAAATCAGCTCTTGAGATGGAGTTCTTCAAGGCACATTTGAGCCACTCGCCCTTGCAAATGCAAACAACAGATAACTGCTGCTGTAAAATCTCAAGCCTCGTCATTTTACCACGTTGAAGCTTCTCTGTTGCCGTCTCCATTTCCCACACAGTGTCAACCAATTCCTGTAACTTTTTTTCGTTTTTATTCAGAACGAATGCATACAGACGCTCATCACCGTTTCCAGCAGAGGTCTTGGCTAGCGCAAGAAGATCTAAACGAGATTTTACTGCCTTTTTTAGGATCATTTTGGCCACATTGGAATTGCATAGACGCTCAAGCTGTTTCAATGGTTTACGACCCTTCTTTGCAGATTTAGCCTTTGTGGCCATTGTTGTTTTTGGAGCAGCTACCTCTGGATGGTTCTCACTCTTGATGAAACCCTCATCCTCCTTGGCGACATTGTTGAAGGCAGTGTGATACCCTGAGTGTCCGGAAAAGTTCACAATAATGTGATGGTGATCTTGGATGTACTTTTTTACTTTCAACCACCGTTGACATTTATTCAGTAAAATACACATATGAAAATGGTATGCTCCATTTTTGTGCTTTTCTATACAGCATGCCTATTGTATTGTAGCTGCCACCATAAAAGACTCGGTTATAATAGCTGAGAATTTTTCTCTGTCGAATAGCTCAATGTTTGTGTTACTATATGTTATAAGGTAAACTTTACTTAAAACACTTGTAGGTGTAAGGGTTGGCTTTAGTTCGTGATATGTTTTGTAATATCTCAGTTGCGTGTTATAGTCACATGTTCTGTTGAGTCCTGTTGTGTCAGTTAACGCCTTTCTAATGGCAATGTGTTTGTCTGTCAACATGTATTGTGACGTTCGTATTGTTCTCTTAATTACATTCCGTTCATGTTATGTGTGTGCATTGTTCACTTTAGAGTTAGTCTTGCTGTTGAACGAATAAAGACAACATCAGAATAGAGTCTCTCTTGTGTTTTACTTATTTGGGACTTAGGCCCATTGGCCTAGCCCCATCGAATTACACCATCCTAAGAGGAACCCGACCAACATTAAAACATTACATAGGTAAGATTTGTGGAGCCCCCTCCTCGCTAATTTCAATTGCACTTGCCATATCAATTGTTTCAATTTTACAACTGCATTTACGAATTTTACAACTGAAGATTGTGTTTGAAAAATTCATTTTTGTTGTCTCAATCTTCTTATCGCGTAGCCTCATTTCAGACTTGGAACTGTGATAGTTTCTTTGTATCATGCTAAAAACCCAATACAATTAACACTAAAGATATGTATTGTTAACAAAGTATCTTTGTTGCCCATTAAGACTTTTTGGCCTGTAACATGTATTCTTCGTAATAGTATTCTGAACAAGCAAAACTGCGCACATTTATTCCGTTGCTCCAGCTTTTACACTGTCAAAAAGGTAGACTCAATAAATTCGCAAAGGCCATATTTAACTTATATTCACTTATATTTACTTTATCTTAAATAATATTTCATACATTCTATTGACTTCCAATGGCGACTTTGTGCAAAAGTTGCTAAAAAATGAAATTACCCTTGTAAATCATTGAACTGGTCCAGAATTTGGTTTAAAAATACCCTGGCGTAGATATAGGTTTTGATATCATATCTATTAGTTTTAAGAATTATACTCAGACAATCTCTGCCGAAACTCCTTGGAACACCTACATATTTTGCTAATTTTTTGCTTTTTTCGTATATTTCTAATAGACAAACCCCCCTCCTCCCTCCGATTCACACTACTACAATGTTGTTTTCGTTGGGATCGGGGCATGTGTCCCCGACTTTACATCAGTGCCTGAAACTTGTCTCCAGACCTCTCCGCAACGGAAATGGAAAAATTTTACCCTTCGCGTAGTAAATGCAGGAAAACGAAAAGAAAAACACTAATTTCATTTTCATTTTTCACTTCAGTTCCCCTTTAATGTTATTTCTCAAAGTTATTAACGTTCCAACACAATTACTCAACATATTTTGTATTTGGCTACAGTTCTTTCTATATAACAAAATGATCGATATTAATAAATGTCATTTTTAAGTTCATTTTTAATGCCTTAGCAGACAAATTAATCTAAGAGAAAGAAAGACAGGAACAAAGCAATACGACAATGAGAATCCAATGTCACGAAATAAAATTTTCAAAATGAATTAAATTTAAAGAGTACACTAATTTTTGGCCCTGGCATACAGGGCTTCATCAGAGTAAATGAAACGAACAAGTGAATGGATTTGCAATGTGTGATGGTGGTGCCGGATTGGTGGATGTTGAATGTTGTGAATGCAGCGCAGTGGAGAAAAAATGGGATGATGGAAGTGGGGGATAGAAGGATGGTGGGTGATGTAAGGGGATGTGGGTGGTGCTATGAAGATTGATTCAATGATAATGATGAATATGAGGTTGTGAGGGTTGTGAGGGCGGCGGTAGTTAACGGTCGGTAGTGAGAACAATGTTGAATTTATATTTTCAGGTCAGAATCATGAAAAGAGCACAAATTAATGCCTTGATACTAATTTTCATCTATGTATCTACTTTTGTTGCGAATCCGTGGCAGATTAAACTTTTTTTACTTGACTAGCATTAAAAAAACCCCCTACATACCCCCTGATTAACAAAAAAATTATCTTTTCATATGAACATGTGTCAGATAAGTTAAAACTAAAATTCAGGAGGTTTGAGGGGTATTGCTTTGAAACTGGTGAAGTTAAGAAACGGGTAGGGCTAAAGTTAGCCAATTTAGTCACTAGAACCAAAGGAACCTCAGGAAGCAGTTCGCTTTGTTTGCACACATACAAATGCGGGAATTAATGTGTCAGCGATGATGTTAAAGACTTTGCATGACAGTCCTATCAAATATTGTGCAGAAATCATTTTCCTTCATGACATTTGGGTTGTATGCTGATAATGGAAACTGAAAAAAATTTGATCAAGTTAGCAAAGTAAATTGAAGAAAAATGGATAATTTCATTTTAGAGCCATTTATCTTTGCTTGAATATCTAACTATTGAAAAAAAAGGCATTTGAACTTTTTGGATTTTGTCTAAACTAAGAAGATTTGTGTATCACAGTTAATCTTCTTTAACTTAATCCCCTAGAACTGGAATTACAAAAACCTAATTGAACTTATATGACAAATTTTTAAAGTCATAGCAAGCATATGTGAGCAAATAAATCCATTGAGGAGCAAAACATTTTAAAAATAAAATATCTAATTGGGGTCTCATATTTCCTGCCCCACAAAGTACAGACCAAAATGCAGACCGTGCAAAACGCAGAGCCCTCCTTGATGAATCTTTAACAAACCACAAGAAAAGAAAACTTGAGAAGAAATTGTCTGTTGATAATCAGTTACTTTGCATTGCCAAAGAAGAGTTAGAGATAAAGAAGGAGCTCATTCAGCAACAAAAGATTTTTGATGCAGAGCACAAGCAAACAATGCACCTAAAAAATGAAGAAAAAGGCTCCCAGTCAAGAACAACTGCTACTTCATAGGAGTAAACTATTCAAAGTTGTTTTAGAGTAAACCTTCCAAAAGAATTTCTAGCCTATGGCAAAAAAGTGGGGGGGGGGCGGTACCTGTCAGCCACACTGATGATTCTTTGAAGTGAAGAGAGAAAATTCCTGTTCGACTATAATCACATAATAAATTATTATGTGTGCTTTTCACTGGGGCTTCAAAGAGAACTGAACGTTTTATGGATTTCATTTAGAGGAAGAAATTTTCATTTTCTTTTGTTGAAGTGTTGTTAAATCAGTTACGATTCTTTTACGATTTCTAATAGGAGTACCAAAACTCCTTTTTGTTGTGATAATAACTAATTCTAATGAATTGTTTTGAGGTATGGGAGGTATGGCTAGTAACATAACTTTTAGGTTTGTAGTTCGGATAGTACGGGCCCCTTTTCTGAATATAGCAACCAGAGAGATTTGCTGCCAGTCCGCCTCTGACGAAATGTCTTGAGAACAAAGCTACCCTGCACTCTTATCGGACTAACTAGGTCACATAAACTTAATTGATTTGACAAAGAAGCTTGGTCTTGGTAACAGCTATAAAGATGTCAAAAACCTACATGCAACGTGGGCCCTTCAAGACAAAATATGGTTGCTGTCCTAGGGATATAGCATCTGCTTATCCTGAGACCGCTGTAAAGGACAGCAACAACTTCAAAGACGACCCTTTAACCTGGGCCGACACCTCACATTGCAGTAACATAATGTTTGTGCAGTTTGAAAAGCTGAAGCCATCGTGTCACAGCGACAGACCTGTGCTAGCAACACATAAAGACCAACAAAGTTGTGGCTGATGACCTGGAAAAAATTAGACCTTATAAAACGGTCATAAAAGATGTTTCACCTATTCGCAAAGAGTTTGATACATCACTATCATAAACATTTTCTATCAGGAAAGAAGAATGCTGCATACCTTAGCAAGAGTTGATCGTAATTTCAATAACATTGATGTTGTTGAGCAGAAAGTTGAATCATTTGGTGGATTTCAATCAATTTTTCAAGCTTCAGTTTCAAAAGTAATAGTGAGGGAAAAAGCCATCACAATCGTGCATTTAGTGAAGAAAGCATGAAAATTGGCATACCTATAGATTTTGACATGCTGAAAACGATGAGATCGGGACCCCACCTGTAAATTACCCCAAAAAGCTATTTTTAGATGATGATACTCGGACCCAGTCCTCCTCAACTAATTCTACCAATATTACACCACACTTCCATATTAAAAGCATACAGAGTTGTATAAGTGCATAATCAGGCATGAAAATGCAATAATATTGTTATTTCAAAATGAATTCCCCTCATATTCTATTTTTAGATGGGGTTCTTGGTCCCAGACCTCCAGGAAAGGTGCTGATCATTTTTCTGTAGTACCCGGGAGTGAAATACTAAAATTACTAATATCACAGAGATTAAGATCCTCATAACGATGAAAGCAATTTCTCAACTTTCATATTAGGCCCGCAGTCTATTTTTAGAAAGAGGTACTTGGACCCAGACCTCTACAAAATTTTCAAAAACAATGCGTCAAGTCATAAAAGTTAATTGAGAGGGGAATTCATTCAAATCATTAAATTGTACCAAAAAGCTTTTTCAGAATGGGATAGAGCAGTTTTTTTATCAATCTATCTTTATGTATGCAATGGATGGACAATTTCGATTTTCGCGATACAGAAGCTGAATCCGTAGTTAACAGCTGAAAGCAATCTGTAAGCGTTGCAGCTTTTGAATTTCCAGAAACGTGGTATAATTACTGATCTGATCAGTTGCGTTGATGCATGTAGAAGATCCTTTGTCTTAAGAACGCGCGAGCACGCAACCCTTGAAGTGAGATACCTGGTAAAAAGAAAAGCCTGATCTTATCAAGATACAGGGGCGCGTGGCATGATATGAGTAGGGGATATTTTTACATGACTGTAAGCAGAAAGTAGCCAGAACGGTTCCAAAAAGTGTCATGTCCGGAAAGAGGTTTGAGCTCTTGGACGTACCCGATCACTTTGATAGATGTCAGACTGATAGAGAAATAGACTGGAATCTCTGTTTTCTGTGTCAAGGAGTCGATCAAACTGCGCTCGTGTGTCCAGCGAATGTTACTAGAGCTGATGCTAGTCAAGGATATCTTGCTGTAATAGAAAACCTTAGACGTTTTGAGGAGATAGGACAGCTACCGTCATCTCTGAAGCGAAGGTTCCAAAATCCGAATCTTTTAGATAATTTTGTTCAATACCAAGCAAAGTTTCATAAAAGTTGTAGAAATCGTTACGACAATTATCATTACAACAGGGTATGTAGAAAAAGGCGCGTTGATGAAAGCAGCCAGGAACAAAGTTCCACTGTGACTTTAAAAACTCGATCTCAGTATACTGCAGATAATTTTCAACCAACGTGCATATTATGTGATGAGCATGATTCCGACAAAAACTTGCACCATGCGCGCACACTTGGCTTGGATGAAAGAATTCGCGATGCAGCCATTCTGTTATCGGACGACAAGCTTCTTGCAAGACTCAGTGAAGGTGACTTGATCGCAATTGAGGCTCGTTACCACAAGAACTGTTTGACCATTCTAGAAAATAGAGTACGAGCCATAAAATCTTCTAAACCTGCAGCAGATGTTGAGTACGAAATTATTTACGGAGTCGTTTTAGCGGAAATAGTCTCCTACATACAAGAATGCTGCAGTGTTGAAGAAACAATCCCAGTTTTCAAACTAAGTGCTTTGAAAACTCTTTTTTGCAAGCGCCTTGTCGAATATGGTGCATCTGAAGAATATAAGAGCAAGATTCACAGCACTTGCCTCAAGGAGAAAATTATTGAGCTACTTCCAGAACTGTGTGAGTATAAGAAAGGAAGAGAAATACTCTTGACTTTGAAGGAAGAGACGGGATCAGCAATTTTCGATTCGTGCTCGTTTAGCGGAAAGGATGATGGTAGATGCCTTGCAAGAGCAGCCAAAATAATTAGAAAACAAATGTTTGCTGACGATAAGGAAGAACCAAAACATGAAGCATCAGTTCCGGCCTCACTTTATAGCTTAGTAAGAATGATCCTGGGTGTTTCGGTGATTGGAGGGGAGCCTTGTGAATTGAGCAACAGTAGAGCTGCGACATCTATCTCTCAGTCGATTCGGTTTAATACAATCAGAAAAGAAAAGAAGCATAATGAAATTGTTGAAAAAATACGGCACATGAAAGCTGACGAAACACCATTTCCTCTCTATATTGGATTGATGATACACAGCAAAACGCGAAAAAAGGGCTTGGTAGTAAACCTTGCAAAGCATGGAATAAGCATACAATCGCGTGCAAAATTTCGAACTAGCGGTTACAAAACAGTTGTGTAAAATTTACAGAGAAAACAGCGTAGTTTGCCCACCAAGTATCCAGAATGGTATGTTAACGTCTGCAGCGATCGACAACATTGACCACAATCCATCTTCATCTACAGCATTGAGTGCTTTCCATGGTACCAGTATCTCAATTTTCCAACATCCGAAAATCATGAGAGGGCAGACACAACTGCAATTGGAGAATGATATCGAGAAGAGCAGTGTTCCCTTAGAGCTGCCAAGCTACTATACTGAAATATGCCCAACAAAATCGAAAATACCGGAATATCCACTACAGAGAACAAACACTGAAGATTATAGCAATAACGCGCAAAAATTGCTTGAAGATAATGGCTGGTTGCAAAATTTGCACTGCTGGGAGAGGTAGAAATTCCTTTGTTCGAAAGAGTTTCTTGGTCGGCATATAATGCAAAGAAGCTGGAATGAAACGAAGCACTTCCGAGAACACTTTCAACGCTCTTGCCACTTCTGAAAGAGTCTATCACGTCGACGGCCACAGTTGCCCATACAATGAAGATAGTTAAGCCCATATTACAGCATGTGAATCCTGGACAGATTCCTGTAATGACAGCGGATCAGCCAGTATACGCGATTTCAAAGCAAGTGCAATGGCTCTACCCCGAGCTTTATGGTGAGGGTAAGCTATTAATGATGATGGGTGCCTTGCATATCGAAATGTGCCTTTGGTGATTGGCTTGATGGTTGGGCTGAACTTTTAGTAAAATCCAACATCAGCACGCCAGGAAGAATCAAAAGTATGATTCAAGGCAAGCAAGTTAAGCGTTGCCGTTACGTTCACCAAGTGACATGTGCTGCACTCTACCTCCAATTGTGCATGTGCAATGGGCAGTGCCTCGAAGAATTAGACATTTAAACTTTCAATTTGAACTAATTTTCCTTTGACAATGAAATTTTCGCGCTTGATGAACAATTAATCATTAGTAGAGGTCTGGATCCAAGTACCTCTTTCTAAAAATAGACTGCGGGCCTAATATGAAATTTGAGAAATTGCTTTCATCGTTATGAGGATCTTAATCTCTGTGATATTAGTAATTTTAGTATTTCGCTCCCGGGTACTACAGAAAAATGATCAGCACCTTTCCTGGAGGTCTGGGACCAAGAACCCCATCTAAAAATAGAATATGGGGGCAATTCATTTTGAAATAACAATATTATTGCATTTTCATGCCTGATTATACACTTATACAACTCTGTATGCTTTTAATATGGAAGTGTGGTGTAAAATTGGTAGAATTAGTTGAGGAGGACTGGGTCCGAGTATCATCATCTAAAAATAGCTTTTTGGGGTACTTTACAGGTGGGGTCCCGATCTCATCGTTTTCAGCATGTCAAAATCTATAGGTATGCCAATTTTCATGCTTTCTTCACTAAATGCACGATTGTTATGAAATCTGCCACTGGTTGCCCTCACTATAAGGCAAATTACTTCCTCACGCTCCCTATGGCACCCAGTACTGATCTGAAAACAAGTGTCAAACCCAAGTCCCGGTGTACTATGCGTTTCTGCATGGGCATGCGTTTCTGCATTAGCAGAGACGCATATGCGTTTCAAGTGTTACAGTGTAATGGCGGACATGCAGGGCCTAGCTGTGAATGGCGTGAAGCGTATATGCGTTAGACAGGACACAAATGTGTTTCAACGGATGTGCGTTTCCTAACAACTTTTAATAAAGGTTTCTGAAATGATCCATCGCCACAAAACCTTAATAAAAAATTTAGACTTGTAAGTTAGAAAACAGCAACTAGCTAACATAAAGCTAAGAATATGTGATAATATCATGCGTTACACAGATAAAATTATGCAGAATTACACAAAGAGCTTCCCCCAAAAGGATTCCCATAATTCAAAGCCAACAATATAAAATTAGTTCCTGGTATATGACTATTATTTGGTTAAAGAACCAGAAAAAGGAATTCTGGGCAATTTTTGAATAAATCACAGATGGTATAGAATTCCTACCATTTTGATAAAAAGTAAACCAGTAGTAGTTGATTTACATCCTCCACAGCTCTATTTTCACTAATGTTTTAAGGTTCGCAAATAAATAAGGCTGAAAATGCTTACCAATCACTTACGAAAAAATATAAAATTTACTATTAAAAACATAAATTAGTGAAATAACTGCTACAATAAACAGACCAAAATTTGAATAAAATATCTTTATCTACTGTTGCAAGCTTTGCATTTATGAGCTTTTATAAATATATATTTTGAATATCTAAAGGGAGTCTGAGTTTTTCAACTCTGGTCATAGTGTTTCATGTACTTTTTCCTACAAAAATGATCGTTTGATATTGATTCCAAGGCAAGTTGACAATTGTAGTTCATCAAGAGACGTTAGATTGTAAGGAATTTTTTCCACCAAAGCTAACTTTATGAAGCTAGAACATACATAGATGTGATATTGATTTGTAGACCTCTACCAAAAGCAAATTCAGGTTCAACTGATGAAAGCTTTAAGAGCTATCAGTTTAAATAATTTTTCAAAGCTAAAAGCATCATAAATTTATAAATAACGATCAATGTAAGTAAATTGTACCAGGAAATTATATATATATATATATATATATATGCATAAATTCTGTATTTGCGTAGATGTATATATATATTTATTTTTACTAGCTTTTTCCATATATTTCTTTTCCATGCTCTTACATCTGTCTTCCTATTCTATTGGTCGAATTCCATATTCCTTTAACGTTTTTTAGTTCTATCATCGCTTTTCTATCTTACTTGATAACAGGCTATGCTCGAAACATCGTTAATTATTTAAAAAAAAATTTTTCCTGGTACAATTTACTTACATTGATCGTTAATTAAATTCATCATATTGTACCGCACGCATTTTAGTATATTAATGGAATCATAAATATATACTATTATAGGCCTTTTTCTTAAATTCAGTTTATCTTATAGTTCAAATTTCTTCTCGAAACACCCAAATCAGCAGGCAATAGCCAATCTGAGACATCAACGATTTTAGTTTCTCAGGCTCCATCAAAATTGAAATACGAGTAAAAGCATGACTAGACGTTTTATAAAACAGGTGGACATGTTTTTAAGCTCGATTTCTTATTCAGATTGATGCCTTATTGCTTCTTCTCGTCACCGAGGGTGTTGCCAACAAAGGGTGTGAGATTCAATGGAAGAAAAATTGTAAGTAGTTCAGAGCCCTTACGTCTTCAGAGATCAATAAAGAATCAGGCAATGATTGTTACTCCGTTGGTTAATATGATATTCAGGGACAGATTTACCAGGAGGGGGCTGTAGGGGGTGCGCCACCCCCCCCAATATGTTTGTGTCCTTT